GCCGCACTCCGCCGCTCCCCTCGCCGTGTGGGCCCCCGGACGCCGCGCCCATGACGCCGCCCGCTCGGCTAGGGCGCCGTGCGCCGGCCCCGCCTGTCGCCATGTCCCGACGCCATGTTACGCCCTGCGGCCGCGGGCAGGAGGTGGCCCCAGGACGCGAGGTAACCAACACGCGGGAGGGTCGGTCGGCCGCCGCTGTCGCCCGCCCGCTGTCGGCGCCGCGGCTTCCGGCTGCGCCCTGGACGGTGGCAGGGTGTATCTCCCCGTGCTGCGTCCCCGGGCGTTACCGGGGCCTTGCCCTGGGAGCCATCCCCGGGATCCCGGATGCCCGCGGGCGGGGTGTGAGAGCCCCGCGGTGCTCCGGCCGCGGAGGGGCCGGTGCCGCCTCATCGGTACTTGCACGTGGTGCCGGTGGTTCGTCGGCCGAAGGGAAAGGGGTCTGGCAGTGTCCAGCCGAGTTCTGGCTGGCGTCTCCAGCACACCCTTCAGGATGCTGGAGCCGTCCCACGTGTGCCCGTGTGCTCTCCCGTTCTCACGCCCCGGTGCTGTGGCGCAGCCCGTCTGTGGGACGCTGATGCGGCTCCACGCGGTTCGGCTCTAACGGAGAACTTGGGGTGCCGTAGGTTCCGCTGCCAAACCCGCTCCGGCCGGGACCTGTGCCGCTAACGGTGCTGCGGGACACGGTCTGCGGTGGAAGCAGTGGCAGTCAGTGACAGTTTTTAGAACCTGTCTGCTAACTAGAAATCCAAATTCAGATAAAGAGTTGGTGAGGTTTTTTTGGAGGCCACCGAGTTAAATAACCTTTGTTTCCTACAGCATGAGACAAGTAAAAATTTTCTTATGCCATTAGCAGCGCCTTATTTTGTTCTGATCCTCTTTCTTTTTGATAGCACCTACGTCTAAAGAAAGGGGAGAAGGCAAAAGTTCGGTTCGTTTTGCATCCTTTCTTGCCTGAGAAAGTAAAACTATGTAGTTTCAGTTTTGCTGCAGGTATCTAAAACACTGTGAGGTTTTCTGTGTGACTTTCTATTCTGAATGGTTTTGTTGTGTTTGTTTGGTTTTTTTCTATTTTTGCAGTGCTTTTCAAGACGCTACATCAAAGTAACATCAAAGATTTAACTTCTTGTAGTTTATCCCTACATTACCTGGATTTCCTTTCTCTGAGCTATTCCTAGTGTTTCCTTTTAAAAGGACAGTTTTTATCCAGTCAGAGATTAGCACTATGGGGCTGTAAAAGTTGGTTACTTCTACCAAATGCTCAGGGATTTGTCTTTTTAGACAAGTGAATTTCCTCCTTTCCTCTTTCGTGCGGGTTGTATCCTTAGTTTTGAAAGGCCGAAAGGTCTGTTAGGTTCCTCTCCTGGCAGTGTAGCGTTTTTCTTTGTCAGGCAAGATCATGTATTTATGGCTTTTGCATTTTCTCGGGGGTTTTTAGTGGTCTCCTTGGTGTCTCAGTCAAGATGAGAGATTTCACAAAAATGGGAGAGTAATTCTGGAGGAGGGATAAAAGGTTTTGCTGAATTTATATATTTTGCCATAAAGTGTTAACCAGAGCTGTGTAGTTGTTGATAAATACACATTAAACAACTGTGATTTTCATGTTAGGTAGTAAAGAGTGAAACCCAGTAACTTCTTACTAAAACAACCTGTAAATGGTTTGTGAAGAGTCAGGGCCCCATTCACATTAAAAAAAAAATCACATGTTCTCTTTGTACTTTCACACGTATGTGAAAAGCAGTTGGAAAGCCCAGTTCTTTCTCATGTTCTTCCCTGTACTGCATTACATGCTTTCTTTTTTCTCTTTTCACCCTTTGTTTTGTCTGAAGTTTCTAGTACACTTCCTTGACTGAGATACAATACAGAATCCTGGTTGGACAGTTCCTATCCCTTGTACTTCCAAAAAGCAGAGTTACAAAAGCAAAGGAGAAAATATTGGTGGATAGGTACTTTCAAACCAGTAGTCTAAGGCAAATCACTCTCCATCTCTTCATTCAAATAAAACTTACCCCAGGGAAAAGGGAAGTGCTTCCATCCCCTCAGTTATGTTGTACAAGGCTTTGTATAATTATGGAATAAACAAGAGTTTTGCTACAGAGGTCTTGCATTTAGAACGAAAGACAGCTGTGTGAAGGACATAAACAGTCATTTGGAATCAGTGGCTGTGGAAACAAGGACAAAGATGGTGGAAGGCCTTGGTTTTGGTTTTGTTATGACCCATCTCTGAAGGCAAGAGTAACACAAGATCCCTTGGGGTGGATTAGAGTGAAAGGACACTGAATGACTGGTGTTTATATATATGTATACATATATATATATACACACAAACATTTTTATTTTTTTTTTGCCAATGGTCGATGGTTTGAGGAATTAATCTTTAACTGTTCAGTCTTTCATGGTTTGTCTTCCAAGATTAGGTGAAAAGAAGAATCTGAAAGGTAACTGAAGATGAGATTTGCCCTGCCAGCGGTGCTTCGTATGTGGATGGGGCTTTAACTGGGCAGAAAGTTCAGTTGCTTAGTTAGGAAAATAGAAAGGATATGGAAAGACTTGCAGTGTGGAAAGCTGTGGGCACTGGATAATTTTGCAGCTTGAGAGCAGTCCATGCAAGCATCGGGTGTGTCTGAGGAATGTGAGGTGGAGACAGCTGTGTTTTGAGCAGGTGAGGTCAAGGTGGTCTAGGGCAGAAAGAAAAATTGGTTGGCAGAAGAGAATAAACCTGCATTTGAGCCTTTTGATTCTTCTGCTGAACCGAGATGTGGAGATCCTGTGTGCTGAAAATTTTGTATTATTTGAAAGTAGCTGAGCGCTGAGTGACATAAGCAGCAAGAGTTAGGCCACAAGTTGAACTCTACTTGAACTACATGGCTCTGTTGTGTGAGTGAAAGATGTATTATAGCAAAACCTGGTGCTGACACCCTGAACGTTAGTGAGAGTTAGAATAGACGAAATTAGCAGCTTAAATATTACTTAAAAATCAATAGCTGGAGTGGACAGCCCATAAATTGTCATATATGAACAGTAACAACTGTATTACAACATGGACCACAGAATTGTCCAAAAAAGACTGAACAGGATGTGAAGATGATCACACAGCAACCACTGAGTAATGAAACAGTGAACCAAAGAAGAGTGAGAAGACCCCAGACCCTTAAATCACTATTGGTCTGGACTCCCGTGAGGCATGGGGAGTTTAGGTCGTAAGGGTGTGGTTACCCAGGGATTTCCTTTTTTTGTGGCCCATCTTTTGAGGCACCAGCTTGGGCTACCAGATTTGTGCCAGTAAACCTATCTAATGGAGTTGAGAGCCTGGTGTCAAAAATTTCTTTAACACCGTTGTAGCATGTGGGAAGAGCATGCATATTTTGCCCTATGTCAAATTGAGCTGAGACAGATTGGAGGCAGCTAGTCTTTGACAAGTAGTTTTTCTGGTCTCTTTGGTAAGCCAAAAAAACCCCAGTTTTATGCACTCACACATTCTGATTACAGGTGGCTTTTCATTAAATTACAGTATTTTTAAACATCACTGCTTGCCAGTAGCCTGATCTAAGAAGTATCAGTGCATTATAAACAGCTTTTTGTATTTCTATAGGTGCTAAAAATGCAAAAGCCATGTGAGAAAATGCAAAAGTGAAAGTTACAAACTTAAAGGAAGATTAAAAATTAAATCCAAATTCAGTTTGTATGAGCGAGCAGTGGGTTCTTCTGGCCTAAACTTCAAAAATGGTTACTGACTCTGTGGGAACACAGGCATGTATGGATGCTTGAATATGTTAGTTTAGAATCTGGAATAAGTACGTGTTTCCTTGGTTGTCACTGTTGTACTGTTGGAAGGTACAGAAAGGTAACCAAATAGGGAAGAAGGTCTTAAACCAATCTGTGTTCTTGCTTTCTCATACCAATATTTTGTTTGAAGAGGCACTTCCAAGACAGGCGTAAGTATAACCTTGAAGTCATTAGTAAACTGTGTGGGAGAAAATGAAGATAGCAAGTTCATAGATCCTGATGTATTTTAGTGTTCAAGTTGCACATTGCTCAGACAATCTGCCCATTTTTAGAAACAATATTCTCTAGTGGAGAAACACCTTGGAGTTCTCATGTTCCACTTGTTCTTGCCAGAGAACATACCTCTGAATTAAAGCTATCAATTGTCTTGTAGGTGGTTGTAGACTGCTATTTCTGCTGGAAGCCAGAAAATGCTGGTGCTGGGTGCTGTGAGGGAGACCACTGACATGTGTGCATTGTTAAGGGACAGTGCTGGTACAAATCCTGCTGAGCAGTCGGGTAATAGTGCATACAGGAATTTGCATCCCAGCCTGGCACCAGATGTATGAGAAAGGCAACAAGCAGTGGTGCACAAAGGCTTTTAGACCACAAGGAGAAGGGTACGTGATTATGTGAGCTTTACAACTTGCAGGTAGGACTTTGTGGCACAAGAAGAAGGTTACAGGGTTATTTGAGCTTTACAACTTGCAGGTAGGACTCTGTGGTTAGACCTGACTGAAACCAATAATGCATCGAAGAGGGTTTGGTCACGGAGGGGAATGATGAGCCCGGCTTTATACCACTGTAAACCTTAAAAAAACCCCAAACAAAAACTAGTGGTAGTTATCAGTTCAAAGTGATAGTGGAGATGGGGAGGTTGTTAAATGCCATCACAAAAGGTGCTGGCGAGGTCTTGCCTAGAATGCTGGATGCAGGTGAGGTCGGTCCTGGTCAGGAAAACTTAGTTTAAGCTGGAAGAGTAGTTTAGACTTGTTAGAATGATAAAGAAAACAGTTTGAGTGAGGAAACTGACAGGTTGACTTCATTAGTCAAGCAGGGTGAAGGCTAGAAGGTGAAGGGGATGATGATGCTTTTTCTGATTTATCAGCACTGAGAGCTATTGGCATTGAAAAATTTGTAGAAATAAATTACAGTGTTTAAATTTTATTAATATTTACTGTATGGGCATTTAGATATTGTTCTTTTAAAAAGATAAAATTATATTTTCTTTTCAGAAACCAGACCATTACAGAGTTCTTCAAACCAGTTTTAAGTCAAGGTAAATATGTAGGTTTTATATGGAATAAATTTATATGAATTTTAATTATATAAGTGTGTAGAATTATAGTCCAATCTCATTCCAGATTGGTGCAGCAACATAGTGAGTATAGCCTACCAAACAGGTCAAAATGTGCACATTTTAATTTTTTTTCTAATAATGTAACTGAAAATGTCAATTTCCTATTAAAATTAATTTATTTAAATAGTGATGTAATTATTATGTCAAGTTATTGTCTTGCTTAAGCTAGATTGTTTATAACAATTGAAGCTATGTTGATCACGTGATTCTTTGATATGAAATAAGACACATGGCAATACCAAAACTGAATGATTAAGTAAATTTACTTTGGATTATGTGTGAGAGAGAGATGAAATATCAAGTAATATAGTACAAGAAGGTTTGTTGTTTTGTGTTTTTTTTTTCTTCCAATATTGTATTTGTGAATAATTTGTCTTTTCTTTTCTCTCTTTAGACCTTGGCCGTAAAGACAGAATAGTGCTGTGTTCACCAGACAGAGGAAATGTAAAAGATGCAGGAATGGGACTGTCAGTTCTACGTGCTGAAGGTTTTGAAAGGAAAATATCTTCTCCAAAGAAGGTCAGAAGAAAAAGATGCCAGACCAAACACCAAACAAGTCCTGTGGTAGATGCCTTTCGAAAAAGAATTGAGGAAAAGGACAGTGTAAATATTTTAGAGAATGGCAGAGTATGGAAGGCATCAGGTTCATTGTACCCAAAAGTTGAGATTAAGAAACTCTTTGTTACCGCAGGGTCTCTGAGCAATTTCTTGGCCAAAGAGGATAAGACTGTCAAGCCAGAACAGGAGAGAAATGAGAGTTTTCTGGGTGTAGGAAGAGCACCATTGTCTTATGGAAATAGTTGGGAAGAGAAAAATGACTGTGTGGATCTAGCAGACACTAGCTCAGACTCTGACAAATGTGTTTCACCACCAGAAGCTGATGCTCGAAAAGCCTGCGCTAGAAATACTGGCATTGTGAGCACCACATCTCTGTGCCAAAGCCCAGGTTTCCCCTTGAAATTGCCCTGCTCTCCTACTGATTCTGCATTTAGGTTGTCATTGGAAGCTCCCCGCAGAGAAAGGGAACAGAAGAAACAGGAGCTGAAACACTCTAAGCCACATCCTGTAAAAGCATTCTCAGGAACAAGTGTATTGCATCAGGTGTGTTTAAAAGGGTCATTAAAGGTTGAAATCAGTGGCCCATTGTGCATGTGAAGTTTTAAATTTTTTTTAATTTTTTTTTTTTAACTTTGCAGTGTAGGAGCAGATTCTTGGTGCTGCCTTTTTCAGATGTAACAAAAGTTCATGTTCTTTTGCTATGCTGTTTTAAGTTTTAGGTCATGCTTGGGTAAGCCAGTTCTTAGTCATTTTACAATAAAAGAAAAATCCTAGTTTAAAAGCAGGGAAGCTATTCTGGGCTAGATGTAAACATGGAAATGCAATAGAAATTGTAACTTGAAATTGTATTTTGTAGAAAAAACCGCCTTTATCTTAAATGCCTTATAACCTTGTGTTTTCTTACAGTGTAGCTTAGGGAACAGACTGGCAAATTTCTGCTATTCAGAAGTTGCAGTTAATAGCAGTTCAGATTTATGCATTTAAGCCACAGTATTTAGAAAGAGATGGGAACGATCCTTTAAGAATGTAGTATTTCATTACAGGTTGAGTTATGTTCACTCTTTTAATCTGAAGAAAATACATACAATTTGGGTTGAGTTCTTTATTTGAGATTTTTGCAGCTTTGTTTTAAATTTGTCTTGAAATGAGGTCTATTAATGTATTTCTGGGGATGTGTGGAACTGTGTCTGTGCTGGATTCAACACCTGACTCGAGATGTCAGCATCCTAGTTTTAAAAAGCATGCAATTAACTTTTTTTCCTTCCTCTGTCTTTATTTTTAGGGAAATGGGTGTCCTTTAGGAAAAATACCATGTTTTAGTTCAAGGGAGACTGCCTCAGGTATGAGCAGTGCTGTTAATATGGAATTAATTAAACAATCAGATTCATCACTTAGTGTCTCTTTTTAATGGCTTTTTTTTCTTGAAGTTATGTTTTCTGTTTTATCTCACTAAAAAAAATAATTACTGCTGTATGGTCAGTGTTATTTCTAATACGGCAAGTTTGAAGTGATTTAAAAGTAATTTGTGATTTTAGTGTAAAACAGATAATTTGTAACTTAATTAGAAGTCATGATATTTCATTGTCTTAAAACCCTAATCTCAGATTATTTTTATGGTTTCTCTTGCATTTTGGATAATCCACATTTACTGTGGTGGTTAATAAATTTTGCCTTTCAGCTTAATCCAAAAAGAACATTCTTGTTGAACAAATCACTAAAGTTTAGCTGGTATTCTTGTTGCTTTTTGTCCCTTTTAACCACATCATTTTGTTCAGGAGATAGATCTGAATCTAAAAAGCTCACATGAATAGAAGCTTGAGGTAGGTCAGTAGGATAAAATTAAAAAAAAAAAAAAGAAGAGTCTATAGCTGTGGAAACCCACCAGACTCTTTGCTGCTCTGCATCGCTTTCCACTTGCAGAAGCACTTGGCCAGCAGTGCCAAAATTGAGTTGGGAAGTTCTCAGCCACATCAGCTTCATGAAGTAGCTCTCTGTGATGTGTCCAGGTGCTGGTGCCAGCTTGAGACAGGAAGCAGGAAAGCATGATGAGGAAGGTGGGCTCTGATTCCACAGAACCATAGTCTAAAACCAGATTTCTTTGTATTCTGAATGCTTTTTTTTTTTATGCCCACGGTTAAAATTATTGAAGTATTTCCAAAATACTTTTCATGCTGCTTGTTATTTATATCTATAATATGAAACTTTATTCCAGTCCCATATTTTAACTGGGCTGTTGTCTCTTTCCAAAGACTGATTGATTCCAGTGTTTCTATGGTGGCTACTGAGCTACTTTATAATAAACAGATTTAAATTAATTTCCAAATTAGTTACAGTAGTAGCATTACAGTATCAGCTAAATCTTAATTGTGGTCCATTGTATTCAATCAGAATGGAAGTTTTGTAGTTTCTGATAAAAATTTCAGTCCTAGTTGACTTAAAAACTGAAGTTAGTTCTTTAAAGGGTAAGCTGTTATACATTTGATTTTATTATTATTATTATTATTTTTATTTTTAAACATGACAACTGTGTTTTACTTTTTTCTCAAACACTTCATAGATGACCCATCTCAACCAAAGCTAAAGCAGGTTTTAAAAAACCATGAGGCATCTTCTCCACATACATTTAGAACATCATCTGACATGACCTCTGGTTTGCCCAAAAGCCCAGCTGTTCCTTCACACTGCCTTCCAGCTAAGGTGTCTTCTGGGACATCCAAACAAAGAGACTCTCCTGGGAAAAGAAAACAAACTGCCATGAGTGTGGATGAAGACAGTTCAGATCAATCTGATGTATCGAATTTGAATGACCCTGCTTTTAGTAGATCATCTTCAAAATGCAAGAATAGGAGGACTGACTTCGTAAAAAATATCCTTTTAAAGTCTACTCATGATGGTGTTATACAACTGAGGGATGTTGCTGCCCTGTCTAGGCATGATTCTGCTCTTTCAAAGGAACACCTTAACTCGAGCGAGGAAAAGGAGAAAAATAATTGCTCTACTGTAGGTTTGCCATCTTCATATTCTGCACACAGACCTGATAAAAATAACCATATTTCTGTTGTGGATACCAAAGAGAATCAATTGCAGCTGGCTAACTCCTGTTTTCTCTTGGAAAAGTCCCTTCCTTTTTCTCAGGAAAAAAGTACTGTGTTGCCTTCTCTCCACTGCTTAACACAAACAAAGAGTGTGAAATCTCTCAAGATTGCTGGCTTATCTCAGGTACTGGATGCTTCTAAGAAAGAGCAGGATGGGAAAAAACCAGAAAGACATGAACACAATAAAGCACACATAAGCAGTATTCAATACAGCAACAGTTTTTCAAGAACAAAACACAGGACTTCAGGAAGTGCTTCTGATTCTTATACAATGGAAGTGTCTGGGGAACTTGCACCCTCAGAGGAGACTGGTAACAATGTTCCCCTTTCATTGCCTTTGAGAGAATGTTGCAAGGACAGCAGCCATACCTCTTCACAATCCTCAGGAGAGTTAAAAGTTGAAAACACCTCTACAGACAAGTCCAAGCTGAATGGAAAATCACGAAGCGGCTTTGATAGTGAAGATGAGTTTTTGGAATCCGTTCTAGATTATGAGGACGATGATGATGATGATGATGATGATGATGATGATGAAGAAGCATTCATGCCACTGCAAAAAGTTCTCTGCTCAAGTCTCAAGCCACAGATAGGGACCCCAGAAGAATCTTGTGACAGTTTTTCTCAGGACACTGTGACTCCATTCCTGAAGCTTCATGTAAGTGTCTATAACCCAAAAAAGCATGTTCTTTTAAGTATTCTTTTATGGGTGTTATTTGCAAGAAAAATAATATAGATTTTAGCACAGTGCAAGGCCCAGTGAGTGCTAAATTGTTACCTTGTGTTTCAAAGTTTAAGAGAATGAAATTCTACATAGTATGTATCCACCAAAACACAGACAGAGGCCCTTTTGAATGAAATCTCATACTCAAAAATCAGTCATCTGCAACCTCACTTGTTCCAGCTGATATAGACAGACAGCAACTTGTTCAGCTGTTCTAGAGAACTAATTTCTGCTATTCAGCTCAGTTTTATAAACACATAACAATTTGCTCCAACATCTATGTCCAGTTCTCTTCTAGTACCTATTCCACTACCATCCACAAACCATGACTATTTACTCAATTTTTGTAACAGACAGAGACATATTGTTGTAGAATCAAATAGTCAAGTTTTTGTCTTAAGTGGTGTCAGTAGAACCCCTTGGTAATAACAATCAGAATGTGTATGACTGATTGATAACAGTTATTTTACGTGAATTTTAATCAAAAATCTATTCTATACCTCTTGCTGATTGTCATTATGCTCATTAAAACTACAGCAAAGTGGAATGAGATAGCAGATAATCAGCTTTGTTTTGTTACCTTTTTATATGGTTTTCCCCCTTACTCATAATGCATGAAAATTCAGAATTATTTGCTTGTAAAACTGGTTGCTTGGCTTAAGGGTCCTATACTGTACAGTTACAATGTAGTCGGAGCAGGGATGTGCTTGTTACTGTGCTTGTCCTTGGAATGTCTGAAGGATTGTGCATCCAGATGTAGACATTGAGAAATCTGTGTGCTAGGCTCCAGTCATATATCCTTGACACAGTCAGATTTGTGTACAAGTAAGTGTAATGTTTTCTTTCAGGTTGTATTTCATGGAAATTGGAAGTAATTCAGAAAGGATTTCAAAAAGCTGAATGACTTCTGCTCATAAGGGATAAATGAAGTGTTTTTCAATCCCTGTGTACAGGATATTACAGTGATGAATTGATATGTGTTTTTAAAAATTAGGTCATTTGTTCAATCAAAGCTTGTCAAATAAGTAGTGATTTTGAAGTTTTATTGTAAAATAATGTTTTAATAAGGAAGGTCCTGCAGTAGGTCTTAGTGTGTGACATTCCTGATAGCTGGTACAGGTTGGAAATGGCTGCATTTAAACAAAGGGATTTTGTACTGAGCCTGGCTCGGTTGGAGTTAATTTTCTTTGTCACAGCTGTATGGTGCTGTGTGTTTCAGACAAAACTGGTGTTGGTAAGAGACCAGTCTTCTACCTGTTGTGGAGCACTACTTGCACAGCATCAAGGCTTTCTCTTCCTCCCACACTGTCCCCATAGAGTAGACAAAAAACTGGGAGGGAACAGGGCCTGGGAAGCAGACCCAGATGACCAAAGGGTATTTTCCATGCCAGGTAGTGTCATGCTCAGCAATCAAAACCAAGCAGGGGGTGTTGGTCTGGCATGTAACCATTACTCAGCCTAGCTGGGCATCCTTCTGCTTGTGAGAGGTACTGAGTGACTGCCTTTGAATCACTTTTTCTTTTCCCCCTTATTCCTTATTAAACTGTTGTTACCTTGACCGATGTGTTCTCTTGCCTTTGTTCTTCTTATTCACTGCCCAGCACGAGTGGATGGGGAAATGAAGAAGCTGTGTGGTGCTTAGCTGCTGGCTGGGGTCAGCCCACCACTAGTTCCTGCAGTGGAAAATGAACAGCAGAATACCTGTAAAAATATTCTCTTCCCTCTCCCCTTCTCCTCATGTTTTTCAGTCTCTGGAATGGTTTATTTGTTGACTGAGTTACTATCTCCATGGGCAGATGTTGAAGAGCCATAATTATTTTATCTGTCCTTCTGATTCATTATGCAAGAGTGTTATAGATCAGACTTGTGTGGTTACATACATATTCCACAACCTTAGCCAACGTGTCTACGTAATTAATGGTTAAACCTGATAAACAGATGCAGCCTAGATCAAATGTTTGTGGCATATGTATGTGACCACAACATTTGGCCTGGCCTACATAATTGATTTCCAAGTAAGACAAAGCAGTTAGAAATTGTCCCAACATTTTCGTGACCGTGGTTTTTGCATGTACTAACATTCTTCTCTTGTGTTGTGTGAAGGGGCATATGTCCACATTGGAATAAAGTTTTGATTCCTCAGTTATTCAACAGTCATTTTAGACATTTTAACCAGATATAAAATGTGGGAAAGCTGAAGACTTCTTACCTTAATATTTCCCACACTAAGTCATGCTGCTTGTTACATTTGAAAGGTATCTCTGAAGAGCAAGGTGGTGTCAGAGGGGCTGTGCTTGTCCAAAGAGCATAATCATGGCCGTAAAAGATTTAAAATCTGTTTCTGCTACAAGCTGAATAAAAGACTGGGCGCTGAAAAAAAAACCACTAGCAAAATTAGTTAAGACTTTGCATGTTGTTTGGTTTGTGGGTTTTTGTTTTTTTAATTCTACTTATTAGCTTCTTAATTTCAGTTTTTATTAGGGTTTTAATTGGAAGTTTTGGTCTGTCTGATGGTTTTAGAGGTAGTTTAACAAACACTGGTACTTTGCCCTCCAGGGACTCTGAAACTAAGAAAAGGGTCCTGAATTATTTTTGGAGTTTCTTGTCTTGTGCACAAGAATGGAGATTCCCAGGGTCTCAGTGGCTGACAGTAATAAAGTTGTGGGGTCAAAGGCTTCTGATGCTAATGCTCTTTGTGACGGTTAGCTGGAGGTCAGCCCCAGAGATGCAGATTTTTGCTTTGCTGTTCAGATCTATTGTGAAGAGTAGTCATTTCTAAATTAGTCACTGAGAGAGATTTGACTATTATGTGAAATTGTCAGAGGACTGAGAAACCTAACCTGTTAATCATCCTGTTTTGCAGGGTCTCCTTTGCAGGGTCTCCTTTGGGTTTTTATCTGCATGTAAAATATCATTGAAATTGGAAGAGGTTTCTATTTTCGTTGTGTTTATTGTCTAATACAATATTATGAATGAATTGATAGCTTGTGGTATTTTTTTAATTTCTTACTATTTCATTTACAGCTTTCTAAGACTCCTCCTGTGACCAAGGTGTCGTATGTGAACAGCTTAGAAAACCTCTTGAAGGAAAAAGAAGAATCTAGGAGGTTTGTTTCTTAAAGCTGGTTTGAAAAATTTGGGATGGTGTTGTAGAAGCTTAGATTTACCTCATCTCCCCCAAACTGATGGAGTTCGATTAGCAACAAGCTAAGCTCTGCCTGCTGATGGTACCAACATACATCTGACAGGACCTACAAGTGTGGCTTAACTCTAAAAGCTGAATGACAGGCTCCTTCCAAGCAATAAGGAGTGATTTGTGATGCGTCTGCCTACCCTTGAAGAGCCAGACTAAATTTACTGATGTCTTCGCTGTAGGTCACTGAGCCAGGTGCTGGTCAGGCATGAAACAGGAATATTTATGTAGACTGACTGTACTAGTTTCTTCAAAGGTATTTGTAGCTCAGTTTTGGTTCCCAAAGTTGTGTAGACTATTGGTGTCTGAGTAGGCTACACAGGTCAGTGAACAGAACTAATGAGTGTTCTTGCAAGAGATCTTTTGGGTAGGAAGTGAAATATGGTTTATGTGCTAATGGCAAGTGGTGGTGATAGGTATGTATGTGTGATTAGCTGTTCTGATTAAAGAATCTGACCCTTGTAACTGTGGGCTGACTGACTATGGAGTAATGGATACTCCTATAACTAATACTGTTTAACAAATAAAATATTTGTTTGGTATTTTTAAAAAAAAAATTCAGCCACGAGATTGAAAATTTTGTGCAATTACAAAAAAATTTATCAGAAGTTGGTTGAGTGTATTTGTCTCTGACGAACTAGTGGTTGGTTGCACTGTTGGAAATTCATTAGGTTTTGGGAAACATTCGCTTTGTGCCTTGGAATAGCGAGATGCTTGGTTTTTACACAGATGCAGTGTCTCAAGTGCTTTTGTCATGTGTAACTGGCTACTGACTCCTGGGTTCACATTCTGGATTTTGTTCTCTTCTGTTGCAAATACAAAATGGTGACGATGTGCTCTGCTGCTGCTGTCATTTCAGGGTAGATGAACTAGAAAAGCAGTTACAGGAGGACATAGAAAGAGACGACAGTGTTTCCGACGGAGAAAATGAGGAGAATGCCAGTGGAGATGAAGATCTCTCAGAAGAACACAGGTCCTTCCAACTCCAAAACCAATTAAATCTAGTTCTTTGCTCTTCTAGCTTATTTTTTCCAAACCTCTCTTCATTTGCAATAGTTGTTGTTAATATGTTTAATGTGAACCATTTTTATATCTTTTGGGGTTGAGTGGGTTTCCCTGGGTGTTACTGTATTTTTAACAATTCAGCTTTCACGTAAGACTGATGTGTTCAACATCTGCAAATAATTGTCTCAAGCAGCAAATAGCTTCTCAGTATTTGAATTAACAAAAGCAGTTTTCAATTTTACAGGGCGTTTACGAAGAGATTTTCAGTAGTAGTCAATGCCATACCTGACTACCACCCTGGAGAAGATATATTTGATTTATCAGCTTCTGGGCAAATCTTCAATCAACATAACCTTGACTTGAGGAATTTTTACCTCATCCCTCAAAATCCTGTAGAAAAGCTGCTTCTTAAGTAAGGATATCCTCTTTACTTTGTTGTGTTTACTCATACAATTTTCTTCAGTGTTAGCAGTTTTAAGATAAAATAGTATCTTTGCATATAAACGTGCTCTGTCTTACTAAGTAGGCAAGACTAACTTCCTTTCCCTGGAATTTTCCTTGCTCGGTTAGCTTTACAGAACAGTAAATTGTAACTTGAAGCTTCCTTCCTTCCTCCTCTGCAATTGTTGAGAAAACCTCTTACGTGAGACATAAAGAAACAAAGAGCTGTTCTGGCCTCTTCCATATTTCTGCTGCATTGGGCTATCGTTGATAACCTGCCCAGCTTGTGGAAGATAAATGCAGAAGTGAAATGTTTAAATGAACACAAGCTTAACTATCCCCAGATAGAAAGAGGACCTTTGTGGTGAACTGATTTGTGACCTTCTAGTGTCACACTGTGTCTGCTGAAAGACTTTTGGTGCTTCTGTCCTGGAAGGGCCTGGGACTTGAGGCTTCACCTAATGAGGATTGCAGAGAGTCATGATCTCTGACACCTGCTAGACTCAGTCACTCACAGGCAATCAGTGTGTCTGTGTGTATATAAACAAGTGCTATGGAACTCATAGGCATTTCTGTTCTATATTTACAAGGCTGTCAGACTATAAATAGCTGGACAAATTCTTGCCTAATGCCACAAGTGTAAATCCTGAAAAATTCTGGTTATTTCAGTTGGTATTTGATTGCAAACATGTATCAGTGGAACTGAGAGAATTCTCTTACTATTAAAGGATTTTATATACATGTGTACGTGCAGTTGTGGGTGTGAAGAGGAGGAGAGTGACTTCTCATCTCTTGAGGAAGTGATGTTTGTGATACACTCCTTTGGCTTCAGGCCTTTCTATTAATATGTTTTGGAGATCACAAGGATATAAGCTTCAAAAGTATCTTGTAAATCAGTGACTGGAGGAATGAGAATTAAACTAATCATCCCTTGCAGAAGGCAAATATGATTTAATTGCTTATGCATTCTGTCCAGTTGGCACAGCTGGCACATACTGGCTGCCCAGTTGGCACATGGAGGTCTTCCCAGTCAGACAGGTAGAGGGTGTATGTAGGAGTTAGGACACAGATGTCTCAACAGAGTTACCTGATTTAGTAGATACAGAGAATAGAGGAAACTAAAGAAGGGTGTGTGGGAAACTGGATATCGTTAATTCAGCTGCTTTTTACATACCTAGCTCCCTAAGGAAGACTAAAACTAAAATAATTCAGTGATAGCAATGACATACTTTCTGTTCTTCTAACAGCTTTTTTTTGCACCTCACAAATTTGCCCAGTAAGATTAGGCTGTTTGATTTTAATTGCCTTCAGACTCTTTATTTAAGAGTATTTTAAAAACAATGTTTTTTCTCTTTTCTTCTGAAAGTGTTGGTAGAGGTCATTGGACAGTTAAAAGTCTTATTCACTGGCCTCAGTGAGCATAACAGCCTGTCTGTGCAGTCAGGCATAGTGGTTCACAGTACAGTAGTGTAAATCAATGATTATTTGAAACTTTTGTTCTCTAATGATATAAATGTTTCCAAACTGCATGTTATGGCATTCTGGAGAAAAAGATAGTTGTTCTAAATGACATTTTTAAATTTGATTGCTATTACAAATCAAGGTTTGATTACTATAGCATTTTATATGGGTAATAGCATGTGAATAACATCTGGTTTGGATATTCAGATCTTTCTTTGCTGTTGATGATGATCTGAGGGGTGGGGAAGTTCTTATGCTTTTGTGAAAGTAATGATTCAACCACTAATTGATTTTTATCCTCTTTCCTCACCCCCATCCTTCTCTTACAGTTCTGGTATAAAGCAGCAACTTTATTTAGCTGTTGGTGGTTTTTTAAGTTCTTCTTACAGTTGTATATTGTGCCCCATACCAATTCTGAAATGGCTTTTCCAGGTAAGTCTATGCTATTCATGCAGTTATACCCTGTGCATGTATAATATATTTCCTGGAAGCCAGTTGTAGCAGGAATAATCAGAACAGTTTGTGAATCTGTTCCATTAGGTTAACAACTTCTAAATAAAGAAGTCTTTTTCTTTCCTTTTTTTTTTTCTTTTCTTTTTTTTTTCCTGGGTTCTGATTTGTTCTCCGGTCTCAAATACTTTGATTGTCACTGGGGGTAAAATAGTAGAGATAGCTTTTTCTCCACACTTTGAGTGAATGCAAAGCTGCATGTCCCTGTCCATGTTCATATATGCTACTGCATTTGAAAAGGACACAGTACATACTAGGTGAGGAGAGACTTCATGATATTAATAGTGTGGGCCAAATCACAAGCTAATGTTAATTGTATTTCCTTCCACTCTTTGAAAAAAATACATGCTGCAATATACAAAAGTACCATTTCTGCATATCACCTTCTAAATCATCAGTGATACCTGCATTGTCAGATAATCTTCCCTTGGAAAAGGTACCTTATGGCTCAGGAAAAAGCCTGGAGTCATTCTCAAAGGAAATGTGGTAGCTGTCTCCTATCTAGATGTCTGTATCTGAATCCCCAGGAATTTACAAAGTGCTGTTACTCACAAAAATGCTTCTCTCCAATCTCCATTCTATTCCTTACCACGGTCGAACTGTACCTGAAACAGAAAAAGAAAGCTGGACCACCTTTAAAATTGCAGCCTGGCTCTGTTGACTGGCTTTCTACATTTGCCAAAAGGGAAGCATTTTGCTGTTCCATGTCCTTTCCTCCAGCCAGTAAAAAATTGCCTTGCCCCCATTCTGTGAGCCCTGTTGTTCCTCTAATGGGGAGGAAGTGTGAGCCAATTCAGATCACTTACAGAGGAGGAAACTGTCCAGCACTTGGGGGAGAAAAAGAAGTTTTGCTGGACTAGTGAAGTGCTCCAGGAAACCTGGACTGTACTTCATAGTCATGTTTTTGTTGTTAAGAGTTCTGTGAAAAACTACGAATTCATTGTTTCAGTTTAGTATTCCATATGTTCAATTTGCCTGCGACTGGAAAAGGGTGTAGTTAAGTCCATTGCCTCCACTCCTGATCAGGAAGTTCAGTTTGATCACAGATGCAAATGGGTTTCAGAAGAATCTGTGATACTTTCCATTCTTTTAACCCTCAGAACTTTCTCATGAACTAACATGGGGTTACAGCATTCCGATATGGTAAATAATTAATTGTAAAGTATTCATAGCATCTTTGCTCTGCTTCAAATAATCAGTATTCAGAGTATTCTGTTCTCCTTGGTATATCTTGCTTTAGAGGGTTTGCGGTTGATTTTTGGGGGTTGAGTATTTTTTTAATCTGTTACTGTTTCTAATTTTTTCTACCAAGGAGTTGTAGGTTGTTTTTGGTTTGGGGGATTTTTTAAAATTAAAACTAATGCCATCATGCAGCTTCGTTTTTCATGTGTTGTTTTTTTTCTCTCCACAGATGATGTCTATTCATCCTGACCATTGTGTTTCCACTCAGATTTTAGACAGATTGATGGAGCTAACACTAAAAAGCTGTAAGTACTTGAAGGGTGGAAAAGTGGCCACCTAAATGAAGGCATTTCTCCACTCAAGTTTAGAAAAGTATTGATGAGAAAGTAAAAGGTTCTAGTTCTATTCTGTGATTCTGGCATGAATGTAGGCTCTTCTCTTACTTATGTAAAGCACAAATACTGGGGGTTGGTCTCGACTGAGTGTGTGCAAGCTGAACCGCAGTGTGTGGTCCTGGCACGTACCTGCAAAACAGTGCATCCAGTACAGAGTCTTTTAAATTCATGTCTGGTATTTCACAAATAGAACTGACCTGAAGAGAAGCCCAAGTCTGCTCAAAAGTTTGCGCTCCTTTCCTTCTTTTACTTTGGAAGATGCAGACATTCACAGCTTAAGGACTACAAGATGTTTTTCACATCGTCATACCCAGTGTGTAGCACTGCATGGTTTACTTTCCAGATAAATGGCAAAAGTGAAGAGAATCATACACCTGCACAAAAACACTTAGAAGGATCTCCTTCAGCTCATACTGCTGCTGGTGTCATGTGTATTTGCCTGCCTTCATGTGTACTCTTAAATACTTCTCCACTACAAGTTCCTTTGTACATCCCCTATATCTTCACTCAGATCCATCAAAAGTCACATTCATTTAAGGCTACCAGTTAACGTTGTTAAAGTGACGTGGTTCTCTTGAAGTATTTGCTCAGGCCTCTCCAAACTGGACCCCATATTTTAATTCTTGTTTAAAATGAGACTGTGAGCTGGTATGAGAGGGAATGTAGCCTCCTTTATTTTGTGCCTTGCTGGCATTAGGCTTGATTCTGAATGAACAGTTCAAGATGATGAATGAGCATTCAAAGAATTAAGACTGGGAGAGATCCTTGTTTAGCACTTTGTTCCAGAAACCTTACCTATTTTCAAATCTTACTTAGCTTCCTTCCAGTCCCACTATGATAACTCCCTCTTACCTTTGCTTATACAAAACAGTAATTTATGTATTCTCATAGAAATAAATATTGCCACCTTGCTTGTTCTGCTGTTCATGATGAAAGAGAGCTGCGATGGAAGATTGGTGGAACTTGAAAGTAATTGAACTGTTATGTAGTCAAGGTGTTTCTCTAGTGTAAAATAACTGTGTTAGACTTTTTTACCCTCTCCTCGTTCTGAACACAGGCGTATTGTTCAACATACCGACTCTTCTGAGATGAGAGCTGGTAGAACTCATGCAGATTGATGAACTTATTTGTTTCCCTTGAAAGGAACTAGTGCTCAGAACTAAATTTAAAACTAATCCATTCCCTGTCTTTTATTTGTAGCTTCCATCAGTGATGAACACTCTAAACTGTGGATTCCTTCAATAGCAGATATATCAGTTGTTTTTGTCAATATGGGCGTTGAGTTTAGATCTCTCTTTCCATTGCAACATCTGCAGCCCAACTTTAACAAGCATGATATTTTGTAAGTGTTTTCCTTTTGATATTTATTGCTTATATCCTTTGAAAGCAAATCTTGTGCTTAGAATGTAGAAGAACCTTAGAAGGTTCTTCTTTATTTCCCCTCCCTTCCATCCAGACATACTTTTCTTTAAGTTCTCAACTCAGGTCTTAGTAGAAGTAAATAACCCAGAACTTCAAACCTAAGTAAGGGTTCAGCAAACCAGAGCAGAGTCCTTTGTCCTGCATCTTCCTAGTGGAGGTTTACAGGAATGTTGCTTAAGTAGCTGAGCAGCATTGTAAGTAATTGGCTACAAATCCAGTTAGACATGTGTGCTCTGTAACTGACCATTGTTTTGATTTGAAGGCATTTTGAACCATGCAGGGTTTTTTTTCTTCAGTTTGATGTAAATAGGCCTTTATGAGCTCTTAAATTGTTCATTTATTGCTCAGATTGTGTCTCTTTTATTAGAAGTCAAGTGCAAGAAGCAGTGAGTCAACAACAGCCAAGAGAAGACCTAGCGTCTGCCAGTCCAGCCTTCTCCAGTCTACTTGAAAACAATTTAATTAATGTGATTAAGGTAAAAAAACCCAGGTTTTTGTGAGTTTGGTTTCTTTTTTGTGTGTGTGTGTTTTCTTTTGGGAGGGAGGATGGGGTTTGCAATCTAGTCCTGAGCATGTTTTGTGAGTAGATGCTGTCCTGAGGTTTCAGCTTCATGTTCAGCAGAGTTTATTGCAGGCTTGTTGGAAACTTCAGTTTCCTGACTTCCATTGGCTTCACTCACAGCTGCACAGTTTTGCTGCCTCTCTTTTCCAGCTGTGGCACTTTATCAAACATCTTGGCTCCCTCATATAGAAGAAACTATTAATTTCTGTGTTCCAGTGGAAATGGGAAGAGAGGAGTTGATGCTGGCTCATATTTTTTATGTTGCCTCGATGTGTTAATGCAGCTCTCAGGGTTATGTGGTTGGTCCCTGTGCAGTGCAAGAGAAATGAGGTGGGACCTCATGGAGGACAGGTGGAACTGTGGCTGACTCTTCTGTGGAAGTGAGCTGTTAGATCCATGCAGTGTGTCCTGTAGGCTGGATGAGTGCTGGTCACACTTCACAGGCTAGTTCCCTGTGATTAAAGTTGTATGGTGAAAATGCTGACTTTATAACTGATTTCAGTGTTCCTTATGGAAATATCTGAATCCGCCTGACATTATTTGTTTAGAGATTTTTTAACTATAAAATCCCATAGTTCAAAAAGAGGCACTTGGAGCATTTCCACCAGAGACAGAATATGTATCTCTTGATCAATTTGTGTTCTCCTTTACGCATGCGTCCTGTATTGTAAGTATATGTGATAACACCTGGGTGGGGAAAAATCTCTTGATTTATGTTTTCAGTATTACTGGTGCATTTAGAAAATCTGTGCGGTAGAGAAGGATTACTGTCTGGGAAATATTGCCATTGTTCAAAAAATGAGCCTCCAGCAGGTATAAAAAAAAACTTTGAGTGCTGTTACTAGGAGATGGGGAGATGTTAGTACACAAGTGTTGCAAAAACAATACATCGTTTGAGGTACTTTTAATGCGAGGGTGGAAAGCTTGAGTTCTCATCATGCTTTAAAATAAGCTAAACCAATTTCAGATGTTAATACTTCATATTTCTTTTAAAGTTTCTAGGTTTCTGTACAACAGTAATTCAAGATGGATATACTGATGAAGAAATATGGCTGCTGCTTCTGTTGCTATTTAAAATAAGCTTGGAGAAACAGCTGAAGCGAGTTCCTTTGGTAGATCTTCAGTGCCTTTTTGTAAAGCTTCTGATGAGTATAAAAGACTGGGATACAAAGGTAACTTCATAAATTAATTGTACTGGATTTGTGAAACCGCAACTTCTGTTTTGAAGTTTTCATTTTTTTTTTCTTGACATATCAGAAAAATACTGCTTGAAAATGTAATACAAAAATTTTGATAATAATATGTATAATAGCAAAAATTTGAAGCTTTGGGATTGTGTGAGATTTATGAAATGGGTGGGTATACTGACAGGGGTTTTGTTGCATGACATGCTTGCCTGTCCACTTCTGCAAGAGGACTGTTATATTTATCTTGAGATTGTTTACTAAAATAGCTATCTGTTTAAGATGGCTCTGAAAGAATGAAGAAATTATTGCACTGAGCTGCTAACATGTTATTAAAAGCAATCTGATCTCAACTACCCTACTTAAAATAGTATTTAGCAGACTTAACTACAGGTGCAATGCAGAAATCTCTTTATGGACACCATGTGTTAGATCAGTTCCTTTTATCCTTTATGGTATGTTTCTAGGGAGTAGATGTATTCCTTGGCAAATAAAGCAAACAACCATTCTTCAGTATCAGGATGTTTTGTTGTTCTTTTTAAAGATGCCAGGGGTCTGTGTGGCAGTGAGTGAACTTTCTGACCATCACCATAATCTCCTGTGGCTGGTTCAGCTCGTGCCAAGCTGGACAGTGCGTGGACGGTAATGACACTGTAACCTCAGATCATTAACAGCTGATTTATCTGTATAAGCTCAAAGTCTGATAAATGCAATAGGTATTACATGGCACTTCAAAAAAAGTATTTGTGTTTTCTCTTGTGATACAGATGTATATGCAGTTCTTGGTGTGCATGTATAGCTTCCTGATCACCTCTGCTGTGAAAAAGGGTTGTTAAATTTTATGTGTAGTTTCTGGGCTGTGCATTCCTGGTACCCTGTAGTAAAGACAGACTTAACTTCCTATTCTGGCATCCATCACCTACTCTAATTCTTGTCTGAATTACCAAAAATTAAATTTTCTTTGAGTGATTCATGTCTACTTCTAAGCATCACTCTGAGTTCTGTATCTTTGAAATTAATAAATTAGAGTGTATCTGAGCAAGGAGAATTAATTGGGTCATCAGTTTCAGGCTTACAGACAAGTATCTAGCAGTGTGTACTTGTGCAGAAGCTAAGATACTTCTGGTTTACTGGCCTCTTTACTAGTTTAATAGCATCTATATTCAGAAAATCCAATTTAATAGTTGTAGGCAAGTTTATATCTAGGGAAGCCATGCATAGCCTCATATACTTTGTTGAAACAGTGTGGATTTGAGAAATTCTATGGGAAATAATTTTTAAAATTGTTTTTCAGGGAACTAAGACGACGTCTTAGCCTAGTGATAATTTCAAAGCTTCTTCATAAAAAGCATATAGAAATACCTGATGACAGTGATGAGCAGGTACTGCACATATGTGTTGTGTTTATATAACTTGGAAGTTTAGAAAACTTGTATGTTTGTGTTTTGTGTTTTATGTTTCAATACTGTAAGCCTCTTCTCAAGAAACTTGCAAAATTACCAATTAATAATTTTCTGTTTAGATTAGTATTAAAAGTATATTTGCACGTGTGTGTAATCTGCATGTTCTACAGCTTGTAAGTGCAGTATTGTTTGTGCCTAAACATCAATTTTAGACATTGGAAAGAGGTCTACATTTCTTTGAGTCTTCCTTTTATATTCATGTGGCGACACTCTTTGTTTCATAGGTTTGATTTTTTTTTTTTTTTTTATTGAGGTGATGTACAAACACTTTAGTCTGTAAATAGTCAAAAATTACTCAAAGCATGAAAACTTTCTTTTAATTAAGAATCCCTTTTCTGTTCTTGTCTTAATGGACAAATAATGTAGTGTCACTCTGTTTCCAATTTTCTGTTGCCAGTAAACCAGTCCATTTTGTTAATGTTTGTATGTGTAGATGTCTCTTCTACATCAGTTTGTGGTGTGTATGAAACCTTCTGTGCTACTGAAGAAGATGAGAAAGATGAGAGAAGGACTGGAAGAGCAGAATGCCTATGAAGACCACCTTAATGTAGAACTAGAACAGGAGGTATATAGCCAATAGTGCTTTTTTGCATTTGTCTTTTTATGCATCTTCTACACTTTTGAGAATGTTTCTTTTAATTTTTGTTAACTGCTGACAGTTCTGTACGTGGAACTGCACGTACACTACTTTGTTGCTCTATATCTTTAAAATATTATTCATATTCAATTTTGATTATAGTCATGGAGGAGGGAAAGAAGTAGCATGTGATGGAGGAGCCTGTACTGGGCTGTTTTACAAACAGGGATATGGTCAGATTTTCTGAGTCACATGGATTTCTTGAATCCTGACTTCTGTAATCAGAGGGCTGTCTCCTCCCTCCCTTCTGATGTAATCAGTGGAAACTGTTTGGCGCTGAGCCAGACCTTCACCTTCAGGCTTCAGAAAGATATTTATGGATCTTTTATTAATCTTTTCTCATAAACAAGTGTTACAAAGATTTAGTATTCTATCCATATAAAAATTGAATATTGGTTTGGTTATTTGAATGTTATCATGGAATCTCTTAGCAAGTATTTTGATCTGGATGTAGACGATGGGAAAATAAAGCCAACTGCTGAATTTAATTTCCAGTTGTTAAAACCGCAGAAATTTTTACCGGTTATTTAGGTTGTGTATAACACTGTAATACCATTTTAAAATGTTTCTAATACATGGATATACTGTTTCAAATTAGTTGTTTAGGCAGATGTGTAGACCTACTTATCCATTGGCCTGGCTGTTGGAGCAATCATTCCAGAAAGCAAAGATGGTGCTGTTTCTAGATGTGAAGAGCTGTAATGGTGCTTTGACTGCTAAAGCTGTTTTGATTTCTCTCCAGGCATACTACTTAATCTACGTCCTCCTTCACCTAGTCAGTGAAGCCAGTTTCTTTGATGTTGTAAATTCTAATCAAAGGGTAAGTAACTTCAGTGGCTAGACCTTTAGATTTTAAAAGACTGTTTTTCATGCACACTTGGTCTGTTTTGGTAAGAGCAATCGTGATCACCATGGATAATAGCGCTGGGGGAAGCTTTTGTTCTGACGCAAGGTAAATGCAGAAGAGCTTGCCTGGGCTTACTGCAGAGAAAGAAACCTCTTCTGCATTTCTGTGAATAGAGTTACCTCAAAACATAAGGCTGTGGATGAGCAGGCATTTATTGTGTTAATCGTTTTCAGAAAGTATCCGGAGATTAACTCAGCACAGAAATTCTAAGAAGTCAAATGATCCTAAAGTAGGATTGAAATTTTTCAGTGTAGAAAAAAGCCACTTTAAAAATAGCTGGTAAAATGTGTTCAAACACATTACAGTTTTCTGTGCTGGAGTGCAGCCATGCAGCAAGTGAAAGCTAGGACTGTAGCTCTTCTCTGTAGCAATAGTTCCTTTGTGCTGTGTTAAGTAACATCTGTTAAGTAATGCCTTCTGCTTAGCCTTTCAGTAATCCTGTTCAGATTTCTGTGATCACTTGCTGGGAGTTGCAAGGTGTTTGTGTAAACCTTCTGTCCTGTGGAATCACTCTTGGCATTTAAGAAATCTGTCGTGTGAACTGTTTGAGAGAAGTAAAGCAGTAATGTTTGGTTACATTTGGAGGCTTAAGTGTCTCAGTTAACTACTTAGATTTGTGGAGAACTTGATCTTTTCAATAATTTTTTTTTAATGTCTCAATTTCTTAATGAAGGAAGAGTCTATTATTCACTGACCTGTTAGCCATCAAGTGGCCAGAGGGGTGTGGCTGGACTTTGTGCAGACTAGACTTGCATAAAATCAATCTAACTATTTCAATTCTGGTCCTCCTCCAGTTAGGTGGGGTAAATTGTGGCCTTGAGACACCAGCACATGTTTATAAGTAGAATTTCAGCATGTCTCACCTGTTCTGCATAGCGGAGCCTCTTTGCAGCTGTTCGGTGAGAGATTGAAACCAGGAACTTTATGAAGAAATTAACAGAATGTGGAAGACCTTGGGAGTCATTATCAGGAGATTATGAAGTGGCAAAACTGCTTTATTAAAGTAATCAAAAATTTAGAGACAAATAACAGTTCAGCACATAAGCCTTGGATATATTTTACCTGCTCAGCCAATTCCTACAAAAGAAATTACCTGAGTCATCATTACTGAAAGGTTATTTTTAGCTATTGTAGCTTCAGAACTTTTTTTGCTGATAAAAGATGTGAATGGCACTGCACTGTGTTTGCTACTTTGGGGACAGAAAGGATTTGCAAATTAGCTAAAAAACTTTAAAATTTGTGATGTATAGCTCTGCTATACTTTGAAACTATTTTTAAAAGCAATTAGACCTGGTTTACCAGGTGCACACGAGCAACTGACAGAGGATCTTATGATCTTGTTTTCTTTCCTTTCCCTTTCCTTCCTGTGTATTTCTGAGAAAAAAATCAAACCAAAGCATATAATTTTTAAATTCATATAATATTTGAATAAAACTGATATCGAGGATTTAATAGCTGTACACTTTTATCTTTATTTAGCAACACATACTGAAGCTCTGTCGTGCCTTAGATAGGTACGTAAAAGGTGATATCAGGGAAGATGCAAGGCTGTTTTATCGATCTAAGGTAAGACACAAAAGTTGATATATTTTGTTTTGGTTTGTGTTTGTATGTTTTTTAGTGTTTGTGATGCTTGTTGTTCCCTCATCCCAGCCCTGGAAATTCCAGGAGTTCCTCATAGGTTTGGGGGTTTTTTTCTGTTTTTTCTATCTGCATGTAGCTAAATATATGCTCATTTTAATTCACTGCAAACATTCCTTTTGCGAGCAACAGGACTCTTTAACAGCTGTAAAATGTGAGCTTGTCTTTCTTTTAACCAGGCCTCTCAACTTCTAGGCCCACAGAGTTGCTCTGTTTCTTTTTGTGGCAGTCATTGATAGCTCATTATAATTGTAAGAGCAGAGCCTACATGCAGGGCAGGATACAGAGGACTGAAAAAGTAGCCTATCTTGCATGAGTCTCCATTTTATCTTTCAAATGAATGAGTTAATTAAAAATGTTGTGGCTTTAAGCCAGCATTGTATGTGATGCAGCATCAAGCTTGGACAATTGCCTTTTGTTTGCTTTGTGGCACGGGGCTTACTAGTGGTAGTCCTAATTTTGTGACCTTCATGCTTTGCCTGCTGTCCTAGCAAACCAAATAAATCAGCTCAGTGATAAAGTGTTCAGCCTCAACTTTGAAAACCCTTGGCTTCTTCGGCTTTAAATCAGGCCTGGGCAGTTGTGTGCTTTCTTACCTCTCAAGAAGATTCTTCTTTTCTTATTCAGCCAGATTGGTGGAGCATGGATCCCTTTAACAAGTTAATTACTTTTGCCTTGATTGTTGTGACTGATCACTTTCACTTTTGTTTCTATGTGCCCTTGCACTGGGAGGGAAAAATCTTACTCAGGTTTTCTCCATCGCTTCATTTATGTAATAGGAGAGTAACTTCCAGAGGACACCACTGTGCTGGGTTTTAACACCGCATATGAAGCATATCTCAGTGTGAATGGCCTGGATTAAACACTTGCTTGTGATTGGTTATGAAAAAGCACAGTTTACGTATAAAGAATTTATTTCGGAAACAACCGAAGCGTTGTTGGCTTTTGTGATTGCAGTTCTAGGTACAGTCAGACTTGTGGAACAAATCTCACTTACCCAAAGATGAGATAGTGCTTGGAGGCCAGAGGTTTGCATGCTGATTCCAGACATTTAACATGGGGAGTCATGTGCCTGTAATGTGTCTGTGTGGAGTACATGACTTGGAATTCAGAGTCCCAAATTACAGGGACCTGAAGTTGACTTAGTGATACTTTGTGCCAGTAAACTTGGATGTTGGGTTATCTGGGGTTTTATGAGTTTGAGGCTGGTGGGGGAACACAGGGTATGATTTGGGCTTTTTTTAACATAAATGGCTAAGCTAATCAATCTGAATTTGCAGGTAAAAGACTTAGCTGCTAGGATACATACCAAATGGCAGGATGTGATACAAACCACTCGGCTTACTCAGGTACTGTAATGAAACCTTTTTCTCTCTTTCTTCCCACATTATGGGGTGCATTCAACTCATTTTTTAGCACTTGAAAATAGCATATTCTTTTGAAGAGATTTTTCTTTTCTTCATAAGTGGCATGGCTGTGGAATACACTTACATGTATTAGAATAGATTTTAATTAAAATTCTTACTTTGCTGACTTCAGTAAAACAGTCATGTCATCATCCTTAAAAGTGATACTTTTGTAAATGTGTGTGTAGTTAGAGTGAAATGCTAGTACTGAGTCAAGTCATAGGGCCTGTCTCTGATTACAGTTATTAGCAGATGCTTCAAAAAGGACATTGGGGCAGGAATGCAGTGATGCACTTCCTGCTGTGGTCTGGCAGCACGTGACTTCAAGACTACTTGAGTCCAGGGTTCTATCCACATATATTTAAGGGCTTTTGATAACTCCTCCCACTTTGAATGTGTAAAAAAATTCATGCAATGATTAGGCAAAGCCTTTTATGCTTTGTAAAAGTATGCAGTAGTATAATGCCATGATAAGTCTCTCCAAAATATTTGCCTTCCTGACATCTAACTGGACTTGGTGAAATAGATGAATAATTTCTAGTGATACCTAGAGTTCAGAGCCATTTCCTCCAGCCTTGGCTTGTAAGGTTTCTGTGGTAATGTGATCAGGCCAACTGTTTGAGTCCTGTCTTGAAACATAAAGCTACCTGTCTTGGAAAAGCTTAGCTTTCCAGTAATGAGGGTATAATTTACATAAAATTTAAATTGTGCTTATATGCTTGGTATTGATTGCAGTTAAAAACTGTGTAATCAACCATTTGACTGTAAAGAGTCTCAAAAATGTGCAAAAAATATGTTGTGGGTAGTGTGTGATATTTCTTATTATAGAGGAGGAGGGAATTATAGTGTAACTCATGGCTGCAGAATCTGCTTAGCAATTGATGAAAGTTGATAGTGATGCAGCTCTTTCAGAGTTGTTTTTTCAGAGATATTTGGGGTTGATTCGCATATGGGAAACTGGCAAGTGTGTCAGAATAAAATTCTAGGGACTTGCAACACAGTGTGGTGCTCCCAAGCTAAGCACCTGCCTACTCTACTCATTTTTTCTGACATTGGTTTTCTGACTTGTGTACTGATTTGTTTTTACTCTTTAGGGAAAACTGCATGACTTCTGGGAGCCAGATTCATGAAATCTTTCCTAGTTCAGGGAAAATAACAGAAAAACTCTGAAAACAAGGAAGATGTAGAATGAATGAAGCTTCACCTTGTTTGGAACAGAAGAAATCAATCACCTGAGTTAGAATTTGAGCTTGATGCAGACAAATAATAGAAACATGAGGATCTAATTTGGTTAACGTTGGCTTTTAATCCAGACGCTCTACTTCTGAAAAATTAATGTGGGTAAACTGAAAAAAAAATCCATTTCTATAGCCTTCTCAAAATTGGCTAGAAATATTTTACCATATTGAAAGCTGAGGGAAGTTTTCTTGTTTTCAGCATTAATCACAAGACATATTTGAAAACAGTATGTATTCATTTTCTTGCCATCATATACCTGCAAGCATTGTTTTAGGTTGGCTGGGAAAGAACTGCCCTGTGATATGGAATGTGAGTTCAGAAAGACTGTTAGACCTCCCCTGAGGCGAGGAAGAACTGGGCTGAGTCGTGTTAGTCTGCAAAGCAGAACTGGTATGAACATCCAATGTCTCTTAAAAACACAAAATACAGCAGTTGCACATGAACCAAGTGACTGCTCTTGTGTTCACTTGAGGACGGAAGCAGAACTTAAGAGTGGTTGTGTCCAAACAGTTCAAGTGGAAGCTTCTTTCCTCTGGTTGTGTTTTATCAAAGAACAAATGACATTTGCTGTAGTGAAGTATTCATTTTTAACTTACCCTCCTCATCTTCAGGCGTGAATTTATGCAGTGAATGTGACCACACAGAAGTGTTTCTATAAGACCGGGATATAAATGAGATCTTATTACACCACTAGTGTATCTGACTTTGCTTCCTATTAATGGAGAAAATACTAATCCTAAATATCAGCTCAGTGGAGATTTGAGATGAGCATTTGGCTCACCTGTGTAAAAACTGTGAAAGCCATATGATGTCTGAATTCCTTGGTGTGAAGTCCTGCTGCACACACAATATGTGCTCAAAGCTTCAGGAGCTTTTATAAAATAATTGAAGCTGTTTGTGAAATAATTAAAGGAAGATATGATTTCCTTCTGTGCTCTGTGTGCAAATGCTATCATTTGAATCTTACACTGTGGTTTGTTTGTAGGATGGGTGTATATAAGAAGAGAAAGTTAAGGTATTGAGTAGCAGCACTAACTCAGATTCCCTTAGTGAGATTTTTAATAACATCACCATGTGCATTTTATAATACTGTTTCCTTTTAATTCTTGGAGATTACCCTGTCTTATATGATGAATCCCCTATGGTAAAAATATAAAATAAGACTAAAAAACCCTGCCAACCACAAAACCTTCAAATTTATTTATGTATATTTTATATAAAGGAATGGGCATGTCTTATAGGAAATTTAGTGTGAATTTGCAAATATAACACATGTTTTGTCTTTCATTTCAAGTGTTACATAGTTGTGTCAGTGCCATCTCTTGCTCTACCTTTGACAGCTTATCTGCCTTCCCTCTCGTAGCAGTTACTTACTCGTTGAATATATCGTATGAATATATTGTATGTAATTTTATTAACATTTATATTTTTTTCTCACTAATGTTGTATAAAGTTTAAAAAATACAGAATGTTTACTGTGTTTAATGTGTATATATTTTCTTACCATGTAAATTTGATGTTGCTGTCCTGTATATTTCGGAGAAGGAAAGGGGAGGGGTTTAGATGAACAGCTTTTGTACTGCAGTTCAAAGCACATTGAAACTGCTGAGGTTTTTTTCCACATAAAATAACAACTTTGATATTTACTTTTATTTACCAGAACAATGAAAAAATAAAACCAGCAACGCCTTTCTAATTAAATGTCCCTGGACAAAATGAGCATTCCTCAGCTCTGTTTCACAAAAAGATGGCTGCAGGTCCTATTTTGGTCTTAGGGCACATGTTACAATTCTAGGGTTTACAGCTGATTAGCTTACTATAAATGGAGACAGTCTTGAAATCATTTTCAACTCAGCCAATCCTGTGTTTCTGTGCTTAATGCCCATGGATACACTTATACATTCTAGCATTTTCCCTCTCTCTCCCCCTCCTACTTTGTCTGGACTTCTCTTCCATCTGTTTTGGAGCTGAGAAGTAATTCTCTGAAGACTAGACATGGGTTGAATTAGGACACATGAGAATCCTTACAGAGATGGTCCCAAAGCATCACTAGTGAGTCTTTACAAGGGACTCCTGGCAATGAAATGGCAACGAAATGGCAAAACACAACGGCAGCAGGTTTGCCAACTCATTTGTCAGCCCCCGGCCAGAAGTTTACATGCATTGGAAAAGGCTGTTAGCACAATAAAGGTCTTAACTGCTTTGTTTGTCTTACAGATAAGCATTTTGCACTGAGATCTATCTTTTGATACTATGTTGGCTGTACTAAGAGCCATGTTATCTCATTTCATGTGGAAGTAGGTGCACTTTATCAGTAACCACAGAAAACATTAAAGGCTGATTATAAAATAAACATTTGTAGTTCTTTGCTTTTTTTTTTTTTTTTTTTTTATTTTCTAACAAGCTTCTCTGTGGCTTAAAATAACCCAAACACTTCTGGTTTTAAAGTAGAAGAAACCTGCCAGTGAAATTATTTGTGCATCTAATATTCTCACTTTTCCCGTTGTGGAACTTGGTAATGGATGGGGATTTCAGAAGTGATTAATGACTTGCAGGTAGGTCTGGCTGAAGGTCAGTGGGACACTTCATTGATGCAGTGGCTGCAGGAACTCTCTGAAGTCTCTAAAGCTGATGATTTAGTTGAGGGTGTCTTTGGGAAAAGCAGGTGACTGGTACAAACACCTGAAGTGGGGTGTTATTCTTGGTGGAGCATCGGATTAGATTGCAGTGAGGGCATTTTAGAGGTAGCATTTCCATGGGGAAAAAAGACCATTTTTTAATACTGAGGGATGGATACTGCAGTGTTAATTTTCTGAGCACAGACAAGCCAGGTCTGTCTCCGTTAAAGGTGCCTGTGCTCAGCACTGTCCAGCAGTCAGTTCTGGGTGCTCGTGGGCCGACAGTCCAGCATGTGAGCTGTGAGAGAGGCTTTGCTGTCTCAGAGATTCAAGCAACTACTTCCAAGTAGTTGAGTTTTTCTGCTGACCTTGACCTTAGCAGGAATACTACAGCTACAGTACTAACACTAGTCTTGTATGTTTGTTTTCTTTCCCAGGAGAAATGCATGTATAGGGTAGTATCCCTGGCTTTGGGTTTGTATTTTGATTTTTTGTTTGTTTGCCTTCCACTGGCTTCTAATGTTTGTGTGACTTTTTGTTTCACTAGAAAGGGCATATCAGATATGGTGCTGCTGGGGATGACTCCCCTAATTTTTCTGGGGTCTGATTCCTTGGGTTTATGAGCTCTTGGAAAACTTCTTGCCCAAGGTTCCCCCATGGGAAACATTGCACTCTGCCAGAGAGGCAGCTATTGTTACTGACATACTAGTGCTTGTTTCTGCATCCTGAAAGAGAGAAAAAGGGACTCTTGAGACGGGCTGACATGGGACAGAGAAGAGGCTTGATGAGCTTTTAGGAGCCTAGGCAGCTGCTGAGGGATCCCTTGGAGTTCCAAAGGATCTGCCCAGGGAGGTCAGACAATCATTAGTGGATTTAGCTCATTCCTTGTGGTTTAACTTATCAGAGTGCCCTGATGTTCAAATTACTGTTTTCCCATCTTCCCCCCAGGCTGTGAAATACCTTCATGTTTTGCCTTGTGGATGTTTTGCCAGCTTTACTGCTGGGGCCTCTTCTTATCTCATGTTGAAAAGGGCTTTCAGTGCTGGAGAATGGCGTGGGCTGCTGATGGGGAGGATCCTAGAGGAAGTAAATTCCTCGAAGGGCTTCTCCTTGTAGAGATGCTTTTAGTTTTGCCTAACTGATGCTTTTTTCAGCCAGTGCTTCCTCGCCTTTGCAGTCAGGAATTTGAAAGGGAGTGTTCTATCTGGTATCAAAAGCAGGGCTGGGTGGTAAGAGAAGAAAAACATTTGCATTTTCCCATCGTGATATTTTGGTCTGGATGGTGAAAACCAGTCCCAATACTTTCAGGCTGCTTTTAAGTGGCATTCGGTTATGTTGTACTTTTTTCAATGCCTCCCATGTCTTCCTGAGGTGAGCTGCTGCTAATGTTTCACCTCCTCCCAGTTCCTTGTAGGGAGCTCATAGGGGAGGGGATGGAAACTCCACTGGAATTGCTCCCTTCCTTGTCATCAAGGCAACGTTGCCACCAGCCTGGAGGAAAACCTAAAGCTTTTCAAGGCAGGTTTAGCCCGTATGGTGTGTTAGGGTGGATAAAGGGGCCATTTTCACAAACCCTCCTCCCAGTGCTTCCATTTGGGTTTGCATTTGCGGCTGCAGCTGTTCTGAAGCCGGGTGAGTGATGCTCCTTCTCTCTTGCAGAGAGAAGCAGAAAGGGTAAATGGATTTATGCTGCTTTTGTGCTACGGGGCGAGTCTTCCACCTGAGCAGTGAGTGAGCTGCAGGCTCAGTGGCTGCGCCTCTGGGTCTCAGGCACTCTTCTCTCGAAGCCTGCTTGAAGAAGAGGCAGGAGCAGAGGGTCCCTTTCCTCTCCAGACTGACCAACAGGCTGCAGCTGGAATAAAAACAATAGCTTAAAGCTGCCAGGCACAGCGGTGGGGAGAGGGTGGATAGGCGTTGTTTCATGCTTTATTGACACTGCTGGCTTTTATAAAGGCAGTGTAAATCATGCAGGGCAGCCACGGGCTCCTCGGACAGCATCATTCAGGCTCTCAGACATATGGATCTGCTTGCTGGAAACTAAGCCTGTCCCATTTGCCCTAAGCCAGGCTGCAGGGACAGGCCTGCCAGGTGAGGATGCCGAGATGCTGCACTGCATATCAGCTCTCCTCCGCATTTGTGGAGCATTGCCTGCCTCCCATGTGTACTAACCCATTTTTTCCCCCCTGTATTTTAGGCTCCAGCATTGTTATGGTAAACTTTGCACAGCACAACATGTTTTTCTCTCCAGTTGATTTTCTCTTATTAGCCCATTTTTCCTCTTGCCCTCATTCTGTTTTTCCCTGCAGTATGTGAATGCCGTTTGCTGAAAAACTGTGTCAGCCTTCCTCTAATTAAGAGTCTGGCAGGAGCCAGCGCAACAGTAATTTTGGAGATGACGCTTCCAGTTTGGAGCTGACACTAAGCTGAGGTGCTGCGGCAGGGGCTTGTGCTGGGGATGCAGGAATGTTCTCCGGCTGAGCAGGGCAGCGGGACAGGGGGACCCACGAGGAGCCCGGTGCAGGAGCAGTGAGTACCTTGTGTACATCTCAGCTGGGGTATTTAAACTGTGTCCTCTTGAAAAGCAGCTTTGGGAATGGTTAAATCCCAGGTTATATCACGGGTTTATCCCTTTGTGAGGGTGTCTGTATGTGTGTGTAAAGGACAGGAATAAATTGCAGTGGCCCTAAGTTGGCTGCATCTGTTGGAAATAGTTGTCATGTCTCCATGTAAGATGGAGAGCTCGACAATCAAATGGCCTGAAAAAGGGCAAATAAGGAGAAGCTATTCAATGGCACTCTGTAATATGGCTTCAGACTCCGTAGTTCTTTTATTAGCAAGAAAGCTCAAAGCAAACAAAAGGAGACAGGAACTGGGGATCTGCTTGCCTCAGGATGTTGTGGATGCTAAAAGCTTAGAGGTTCAAAGAGCATTTTGTGGCAGAAAAATGCAGCAGGGGTCTATGAAATGAAAGCAGCTCTCCCTGGCTGAGAAGGCTTCAGGCTGCTGATCCCTGGAGGGTGGAGTGTGTGCTGGGGAGATATCCTAGATGTCCATCCTGTTCCTGCATCCCCTGCAAGGTGCTAGGACTTTGGTCCAGCGTGG